TTTCCTGGGCCCCAAATCCAGTCTGCAACAGGAAGAAAATTCCAAGATACAGGCTAATTTTTGTCATTACTCTATTACTGAAAAGAAATTCAGCTGAAATCAGAGTGACTTCAAAAGAAAGAAAAGATAATGAAATGCAAAACCATCCTAGAATACATAGACTTTGCTGTCTGTTTGGCTCCTGATGGCAGCATCAAAGGATTTACTGATAGAGATTGGAAGAAGAACATATCCTTTTTAAAATTATTAATTTTATTATAAATATAGCGCTTCATCTTTGCAGAAAACTTGCAACATCCCATGAAATAAGGTAAAAATTACTCATTATCCAAACATACTGAGTTAACATTGCTGACAAGTGGATTCCAATTTGTGTGCACATTTTGACATTTGCTTTTTCTATTTAAAATCATTTTAAAAGGCTTTACACTGTTCTTCAATGTTTGGATTATTGGTTGGTTGCTGCCTTTCATTATTAATAATTGCTAAATGCTATTTTACATAAATAAGAATAGCTCTATTTCCTTAGATTTTGGGTAGGAGTTTTCTAAAGGACATGAAATATTATTAAGATGTTAACAATACTGAGTTATATTCTAGATGTTGGAACATCACCAATGGGTTTTTTAAACATGCAACTTGTTAGTCTTAACCATGTCTAGGTTGTTCCATTTATTTAAATATAAGGATCCTTTGATTTTCTAAACTTTGTAGACTCAGCAGAAATTTTCAGGCCACAAAATCCAGGTACACAAGAAACATAACTTTAATTTTCTATAATTTACCTTAATCTCTTCTGCATTGATTGCTTGGAATACTTCTATGAAGATATGTTTTCTCTTCCCAACTATTTGGATTCTTAGTGGCACAGTTTGTATGGAAGGGTAGGATACATGCAAGATTCTTTTCCCCATTTATTGATCTCCAAAATGTTTTAGCTTACTAACAACCCCTCAAACGTGTCCAATTAGTTTGCTTCTCATTATAAACACGTAATATTTGATGTATTTCAACCGATTGTAGTTATTATTCTTATTGGTGCTTTAACTGTTCTATCTTCAGTCAGTGGGAGCCCCTGCATGTTGGCTTGAGTCCCTTTAACACACCCTAGTATTTGATAACTTCTTTGCTATCTGGTATGTCATGCTGTTACAGAGTCATTTTGAACATTTCCAGTCATTTCTCCAAATACCCCTGGTTCCTTTAACAGGAGATGTGTTTCAAGAACAAATGTAGGTGCAGGAGGATTTATTGCTGCTGGATTGGTCATTCTAGATCAAGTGGATAGATATATGCTGAGAAAGTTGTAAAAAGTCTAAAGGAGACTCTTTAGAGGATCTGCAACTTGAGACGGGCTTTAAAGCAGCGCATCTTAACCTCTGGTGGGTCAATGCAGTTCTTTGGGAATCTGGTGAAGATATGGGCCTTCTTCCTCTAAAACTTTGGCATACAATTTCAGGTGGTCCATTAACTGGAGCCTATGTATGAGTTCCGTACAAATTCATATTTTATCGAGATATTTAGATTTGAATAGATAGAAAGCAATATTAAGTACAATCCAGGTACAGAAAGCAGAATAAGCAAAAAACAAATATGTACCTAAGAGTTTATGGAATACATCAAGATGTATTTGGTTATAAGTAATAGAAACCCAATTCAATAAGGTATAATCAAAAGCAAATTTTACTGGCAAACATAATTGGAAGGCAATAGTTCAGTTCAGGCACGGTTCATGACCCATCTCTTAACAATTCTCTCAGCTCTGAATTCTTTCACTCCCCAGAGCCAGATTGTGCCTGCGGAGTGGAGTGGAGGAGGGGTTTACATAATACTTTTCCTTTTTTTTAATTGGGCCAACTTAGTTCACATGCCTATCCTGGACCAATAATGTGAATCAGGGTAAGGCTAGGTGCTAAATTAGCTTAAGCCTGGGCTCACAAGCTAGACAAAGGAAATGGTATTTCAAGCTTGACCTTGCCCTCAATTCACCAAGCCACACTCCTGCCACACAACAGGTGAGGGTGAAGTGTCCACTCTAGATTAATTGTGAAAAATAGATCTAAAAAAAGGATCAAATTTTAGGCTTCTTAAAAGCTAAGTTAGAAAACATACATTTGGTGCTATCAGTAATGGAGAGCAATTTATTTAAGCCTGCAAAAAGCATTGGTAAAAGCAGGTAAACCTGCTGAACTGAGAAGGATGAAGAAAAAGAGGTGAAACAATTGAGATTATTGCCCAAATCAAAACAAATGAACAAATTTCTGGACTAGAGTGGTTATAAGAAGAATGCAAATGAAAGAATAAGTGTGAGAGACATGAAGAAAACATTATAGGGTCTGGTGACAGTGGGAGAGAAACGGAAGTCACAGACAGTTCTCAGCTCGGTAAAGGTGGTTCCATCAAACCCAACGGAACAAGTGGAACATAGAAGGGGCCAGAGAAAATGCAAATGAGTTGGATTTTACGTGGTTTGAGCTTTTAAAAGAAATGACTCATGAGGATTATTAAAAATTGAATAATTTTCAATTATTTAATTAAACTGAAAATTAAAACTGGCACTTCAGGGAGTGAGAGTTTGGAGATTGTTTAGATTTGATTAGAAGATATACAATACACATAAAGGAATTTTCTGAGGATGAGAAAGCAGGTGATCAGAGCTTACACTTTATGAGATAGGGAAAAAAGGAGCCAACAGAGGAGTTGACAACAAATGTCAGGGAAACAGGGTAAAAATTAGTACTCAGTTGTATTGCTAAGGACAAAATAAAAAGGGTAGGGGCAGGCAACTGAAGTGCCATGCTGGAGAGCACGTCTTCCACTTGGTTCAAAGGTCACAGGTGATTTTTGAGAGAGCAGCTACATAGAAAATTGAGAGAAGCCAGATTGTAGCATGATAGGAAATGAACACAGAAATTGAAGCAGTATAGATTTTAAGCTGGTGAATTCTGGAAGGGGGAAAAAGAAAAACTGGCATATTAAGGGCAACCTAAACTTTAAAAAAAAAAAAAAAAAACAGAGAATGAAAGGGCTTCTATACATATGTGAAGACAAGAGGCTTCCATACATATTTATTCATTTCCAATGGAGGAAGTGAACCAAAAGAAACCTATGGAAGAGACAAACAGAGGTTCCAGAGGTTGTTCAGGAGAATGTGCTTGGCATGTTAAAGGAGTGAGGACATTCATTCCTTTGGGAGAAGAAAGGTAGGATAGACAAAGAGATTTGTTTTGAAGTGGTCAGGAGGGCTCTGACTGCCAGAAATGTTTCTCCATTGGTAGGTGATCCTCTGGGGGGCTGCAGAGGGCTGGAGAATGAGGGCTGAGAGTGTGGGCTTGGGACATCAGCAAAGGAGCCAAGATAGTTTCTGCAGCAGCAACTGCTCCATACAACTCCCTTATTGGTCCCCTGCCCAGTCAGAAACAACTGGTCTGGTTTAAACTGCCCATTGGTAAACCATAAGGCCCCACTGCCCCCCAACCAACTGCCCCCCACGTCTCCCAAAGCAACTCCAACTTCTTGCACCTGCAAAACCGAAGCTCCTCATTGAGAAGAGGCGCTGGATTCAATAAAGAGGAAGGTCCACTTCCAATTCCATACAAAAGGCTTCTCCTCATTTTCAGATATGTTAGCACAACTTTCTGAACCAGGCAATTAAGACCAGGAGTCCTGGATAGAAGAGGTTTGCAGAGTATTTGAAAATGGGTACAAAAGATAAACAGGAGCTACTCCAAGGGAGTCGTCTCTTTTCCTCATTAGACTCTAACCATCAATTATTTGATGTATCAGTCACTACTGATAGTGGAACCCCTGTAACATATTGTACTTTTTAAGTTTCCGCTGCCAGATGGAAAAAGGATTCCCTCTGCAAACTTCAACTGCCTTCAACTTCCCTCATCCCTTTAAGTCCAAATGTCTGCTTAGGTAAAGTGAAGACACAAGCTAATGTTTTGGGTAGAAAACAAGAAAGCTTCAATTGCATTGCAAGTTTCTTTTCTCAACAAGTAATGTAAAGAACTACTTCAAGAAACACTACTGGCGTATGTGTTTACTGGGATGCACCTTTCCCTTTCTACTTCCCCAGAGACACTCGGGCACCACTTCTCTTCGTTACTTGTAGGGGACACGGCTAGTGTTTTTCCCAGAAATATTTCCCACCAGAGCCCACTTAAATGTTGGGATGTAGCATCACTAAGTGGGGGGAAAAGCATGAAGGCTTCAGGCCTTGTTCTAGCCACACCACTCTATATGAACGTCAGAAAACAAAACTTGAAATTCTACCATTTTCCCTTTCCCTTTTCATCCATTCAACTATTACAACTCCCTCATTCATTCTCACAATGAAAGCCGCTTAAAACCCTGGGATCTATTCTGTTGGCAGAGCAAACGGATCTAAACTGGGGCAGATTTCCTAGCAGAAGGTAAATTGGTGCCACCATTTTTACACCACCTCCCTTGCCCTACTCCAGCAAATGATAAGACAAGGTGGGAAGAGCTAGATTTGGAGCTGTATGTGGATTCCACTGGGAATTGCAAATTCAAAATTTTCCTCAATTTTGAGGATGTAGGTTATTCACGTGAGCAGATGGTTTTGTTGTTACTCAGTTTTAGCCCCAAATACGGTCAGTTGAAGCTATTACTCTTCCCTACGCTATTTGTGTACTGCAGTGGGGAGGCTCCAAAACGATCCAATATCCACAGCAGAGACAATATTCCTTCCAGGTTTCCATTCACTCTCTGCCTTAGCATCAAAAACTCCTAGAATTCGAGCCATGGTCCAATGGCTATCGCTACCACCAGGGCTGAGAGTCACATGAATATCCACTTTATTTTTTTTTTCAGCTTCACTGAGGTATAACTGACAAATTAAATTGTAAGATATTTAAAGTGTACATTGTGATGATCTCATATATGTATACATTGTGAAAGGATTCCTGAATATCTGCTTTATTCTACTGTAAGTGTATGGGAAATGCTTTCTCTTAGGACAGTGGAGACAAAAATGGAGTTTTTCAGAACAAATGTTTATTTAAAGAATTAAGGGAAAACAAAAACATTAAAGCATAGGAATACATTGACTGATACAAGTTGTCTCGTTTGGTCTGAAATCCTGAAAAAGTTACTCCAACTACTTACCTGAGGTAGATTTAGGTTGGCACTGTTTCAAGAGAACCTCCATCCATCCCAGAAGTTACCTTCTAGTTTTGGTTACAGGCTCCCAAGTGGTCCTCTCCAACCTCAGGTTATGCTAGATGAATAATACCAACACCTTTTTCCCCACTGTTAAAAGCCCTCAGACCTGTTCCATACCCCCAAAGTTCTCTGAGGGATGGTCCATTCTTAATTTATTTAGAGACTAGAGACAATTACCAGTAAGATTAGTTGAAAGAAGGGTCAAGTCATTGCCCTGCCAATGATACCAACTCTGTCTCCTTCTCTGAGTTCTAATGACTAATAAGTAGCCATGAGGACTAATTTTCATCACCACTATGCCATACACCCAATACTATTTTAGTATTACAACCGTCAAACATACATGAGTGAAAGGCATGATTTTTACCAAAGAGAAACAAATACATCTTGTATGTTTTATCACATGGGCTAACTTTCCATGGTATAAGAGCTATTTATGAAAATTACTAAAACACATCAGATCAAATAAACATCCAGGATCTGTTTTCTAAAAGAAAGAAGGAAAAAACACCCTAGAATCAGATTCCTTATTATCACTATGAGCTATATCCACTGACCCTAAGATTATCAAGCTCATCAATGAGTCATTAGGATCAAAGCTTAGAGCCATACGCAAGGTAGCAGCTGCCTACCTCCATGAGTTCAAATGCCAGCACTATGAAGTTCAGGGATTTGCTAAGACAAACCAGAGGACTCAGACCGGCAACAAAATATTTATTCACCAGTCTAGAATCCCAGATACTGCAGGAATCTTAAGTATTTATATGCAATGTCTTTTAATCTGAGGGAAGAAAAGAACCTCAGAAGTGTCCATTTATAGATCCCTGGATTAATTATAGTATTTCTGGAGAATGTTAAAGATAATCATAATTATCCTGTTAAGCTGGAGATAAGTGCTTACCCTTAAACCTCTGATGAATCTGCCAACTACTTTTCCCTTCCAGTATTTAGAAACCTACTTTCCAAGCCAAATGTATACTTTATATTGTGATGACTGCTATCCTTTCCCTGGGAATAAAAGTATCCTCTTTCCTTGGCAGAACTGAAATAAATGATAGACATCATTATGGGGCTTCATTTGCTATAACAGCAGGTCAATGGAGTGAAAACACCAGCTTTGGAGTCAGGATACTCAAAATCAAAAAGTCTAGCTCCTCCATTAATAATGCATCATGTTGTTTTACTCTGTACCTACTCAGGCTTAAACCTTTCTTTCGGTCTACCCTTAACCACTGTGCAAGGAGCTGATGAGTATATCTTATCACTGAAAGAGACGTGATAAATAAAATCATAAAAATATGAATACTAGCAACATCTTAACTATTATCCTGGAATTTGCATTTCTGAGTTGAAAAGAAATGAATCTCTAAAGCTGAAATTTCAAATATCAGTGATTATCTGAAGATATTTTAGTGAAATGAAACTTTTGAGGGTATGCCTCAGCTCACACTTAAGTAAAAAGCTGAGTACTCTGCCTCTTTATGAGGCTGGCCCTCTAAAGGGGAAACTTTTGATCTAGGATAACTACTCCTTAGTTGCTTAGTTCTTTTCACTACCAGCAAAAGGTTCCCATGCTACTATCAACACACTAGTCCCCATTCTAGACAAGAAAAAAAAAATCAAAAGAGGCAAAGTCAATATACTCCTTTCCCCCAACAGTAACACATGCCACACCTTCTATTACAAGGTTGCAGTCCTTTCCTTTATTGTATTTCCAAATTTTAAAAAGTAAAAGTAAAGCACTCATTAAGTGGTTCAGATAAAAGAAAAGCATCTTTACCTGAGTTACCCATCAGGCCTACTCTGACCTGCTCTAGCTCCTCCCAGAACAAGCTTCTGGGTATCTAAAAAATTGTTTACATATATTGACTCCGTTAAAAGTCATCTCTACCATATGGGCCAACTAACTATGAGAAAAGTTCTTCTCATACCTATTATATGTACACAGTCCACAATTAGATCTCTCACTAGAGCAAAATTCTCTTCAAAGTAGGTTCTTTGGGGCCCAATAAGGTAGAAGTTTTTAGCAAGGCTTTTCAGACTCAAGGTATTAATGGGGTTTTTCACTTCTGTGAGTTCCCTGGTGTACCACAAGAGCTGATCATTGACAGAAGCTTTTCTCATTCAGAGACTTTGAAAGGTCTTTCCTCAGATTGGGTTATTCTGGTACAAACCCAAGAAGGCTCTCCAACTAATGTTTTTGCCACATTCAAGATAAATAAACAAATTTTCACCAGTATGGCTTCTGTGATGGGTAAGAAAGTCATAGTTTTGTTAGAAGCTTTTTTCACACTTGCTGGAGTTTCTCCCCATTGTGGGCTTTCTGGCATCCAATGTGATGTGCATGTGTCTGAAGCAAGGTTGACACTGAGAGCATTTAAAAAGTTCCTCCAATGGGAATTCTCTCAGAATGAGGAGTGGTGAGCATTGCTAGAAAGCTCTTGACACTCACTGCATTTGCAAGGTTTCCCACCTGTATGAATCCTCTTGTGGGTGATCAGATATGAGCTCGGACTAAAGGTTTTCCAAAACTCAGGGCATTGTAAGGTTTCTCATTGGAGTAACTGATAAGGTGTTCTGTTAGAGCAGCTCTACGGGTACTCCACTTCTCAACTTCCTACCATTGCAGATTTTCTGGTCCCCACTGAAGTCTGAGCTCTGAGGAAAGTCTAAGATTTGCCTAGAGTTCTTCATCTCAATGAGTTCTCTGACATGCAAATGCACTTTTTATGGTATTGTAACTTCTTGTCTGATCAAGACATTTGTGAGGCTTCCGATGCATGGGGAGGACTGAGCTCAAGACCTTTCTCACCCATGTTACAAATATATGGTTTCTCACCAATGTGGATTGTCTGATGTTGAAGGAGGGCTGAGCTCTGGTGGAAGCTCTTATCACATACACTATATTTATAATGCAGTTCCTCTGTTTGAGTTCTCATTTTCTGTTGGGCAACAAAGTCCATGCCTAGGAGGAAGCCACTCTCACAAGTAGACCACTGATGTGGTTTCTCCTCCATGTGAATTCTTTGATGCACAATAAGGTCTGAACTACAGTTGAAACTTTTCTCATATTCAAGGCATTTAAAAGTGTGAGTGTGAGTTGCCTGGTGCCTGATTAGGTTGGCACTCCGAGTAAAACTTCTCATACATTCCAAGCATTTATACGGCTTTTCACCTGTGTGGACTCTCTGGTGCACAATAAGGTCTGATTTCTGGCCAAAGCATTTCTCACAGGCACCACACTTATAGGGCTTCTCCCCAGTATGAACTCTTTTATGAACAATGAAGGCTGAACGGTGTCGGTAACTTTTCTCACACTTATTACATTTGTAGGGCCTTTCACCAGTATGAGTTCTCTGGTGGCTAATAAGATCGGATTTCCCACTAAAAGCTTTTTCACACTCCAGACACTTAAATGGTTTCTCACCTGTGTGAGTTCTTCGGTGTCTTATGAGGTTGGTACTTCGACTGAAGCATTTATCACACTCACTACATAGATATGGTTTCTCGCCCGTATGGCTTCGCTGGTGGACAAGCAGATCAGAGCTCTGACCAAAATTCTTGCCACAAATATCACAGGTATAGAATTTTTTACCTGCATGTGTTCTCTGGTGTCCTGAAAGGGCTAAGTGGTGCCAAAAGCTCTTCTCGCATTTGCTGCATTTATAAGGTTTCTCATAATTGTGGATCCTCTGGTGTGAAATAAGATCTGAGCTTTGGATGAAGGTTTTCTCACACATATCACATCTATAAGGTTTCTCCCCAGTGTGGGTTCTCTCACACATAATAAGAGCTAAGTTTTCACACAAGTTTTGCTCACGTTCAAGGCACTGGTATATCTGATCATCTATTTGAGTGATCTCATGCACACGAATAAAAATCGTTTTACCCTTCTGAGGGCATACATGATATATTTTCCTTTTCTGAGTTCTCTGATTATATCTCTCTTCTGAAGTGTACATTTTCTATGGCTCTCTCCTAGGGAGTTTTCCACTGGTCTTCTTGACCCATCATTTTCTTCACAGTCATTTTCTTGATAAGAACTTGAAAGATACATCTGTTTCCAGCCTTTCAGTCATGAGCAGTTGGTCTCTACAAGTTTCCAGCATCATATACACTAATTCCTTAATTGGTATTTCCAACCCTGTGAGACAAAGGAGAAATATTATATTCCTATGACTAAGAAAAGAATGCTCAAAATTAAAATCACTGCAGAAAAGACAGAAATCTGCGTCAGAATCCATAAGTGCTCTAGGTTTTGCAGAGGCTGAAATCAGTTTTCCTCTTTGCTAACATAAAACTCATCAGCACAACAATGGGGAAAGTACCAGGAAGAACTGTTTCTTTTATGACCTTGGGTCATCTCAAAACCAGGGTTGTTGTTCTTCCCTTTGCTTCAGCTGAGTAATCAAGACAAGTCTAATAATTAGTATGCCTGCTCATGAAGAAAACAAACCAAAAGGGACTGTGAGTATCTATGCAGCCTTTTCTGTAAAAGAGTTCGAAAGGAAATGGTTAATGATCATTCGAATTCCCAGTGCACAGAGGGAGAAGAAAGGCTCATATGACTCTAGCATCCTAGCTGTGTGATGATAGGCAAGTTACTTAACCACTCTCTACCTAGTTTCTTCTTCTGTAAAGTGGATTAATAATAGAAATTACCTCACATGGTTGAGTTGAATAAGTTAATCACTATACATCTCATGGTAAGAAATCTGTGTTAGCTCTTATAAACACTGTTGTTATGATAAAGGAGCCTACAAGTCTGCTTTGATATGAGCACAAACCTTGTTCAAAAAGAAAAATCCTGACTGACTAAAGATAAAAACCTAGGCATCAAACCTAATTTTATGCCAGTCTTTTTCTCTGTACAGTGAAGAGATCCAGAACAGTTTTTCTCCTATTTAGAGGGATGCACACATATTAAAATACCTAAGGATGGAGCATCTTAAAGAAGTAAGTCCTTACACACAGAAAGATCACAGTTATATAATTCTCCTTTATAACACTGCTGAAAAGGGCCCTCTGATGAGGCTCCAAATGCTCCACTCCTCCTGGGTAAAGGATACAGCCACATCTTCAAATGACTAAGAGATTAAACAGAGAGAGAGAAAGGAGAGAGACATCGAGGTCTTTCTACTCAAAACCTATTTTGCCTAAAGCAGTACCACTAGATGAGTCCAAGATGTCACGGCCAACAGGAAATACAGAAATATAGACTAATGCTAACAAAAAACGTTGGGCTGATTTGAGAGAGAAGTACAGAGGGAATTATAAGCCATTACATTTATCAACTGCCAACAATATACTAAAGAAGAAACATGAGAAACAAAAGTGGCAAAAATACCATTTTCCATATCCTTCACACTTACTCTTCAATGAGCATTTCACGTTTAACCCTGTCCTCACGTTAAAAATCCTCTGTCATCTAAGAAATAAAAGCTGATGACCTTGCTTCCTATTTCCCTGTGAAATTTAAGCCAAAAAAACAAAACACACACACACACTCAAAACGAAAACATAGAAAACCATTTCTACATGCTCCCACCACATCAACCTACTTCTTGCAAGTCTGGTCACATACTCCATCTTTCCTTGTTACCACAGATGACAAACTGCCTCTTCTCAATCTAAGGACAACCTGTCCCTTAGTGTACTGGATTCCACTCCCTTTCTCCACAAGAACATAACTCCAGCAATTCTATCCTCTCTCTCCTGCATTATCAATTTGTTCTTTTTTATTGGATCATACTAATTAGCAAACTGCTACCTCTCTCCTAAAACAAAAGCACAACCAACAAGAGAACTTCTCTCAACCACCTCACCCTTGAGCTACTATCTCACTTCTCTGTTCCTCTTTACAGCAAAATGTCTCAAAAAAATCAATCTGCTCATTGTCACCGATTCTTGTCTTCCAAGGTTTCTGGAACATACTCCAATCAAACACTTACCATCATGACTCCAGCAAACTGCTCCTATTAGAAACTTACAAGCCACCAAGAAACCTGACTCCTAGTTACCATGTTGCTGCCTCTCCCTGGCTGAAGTGCTCTTCCTGAAGATCTTCAAGGCTCCCTCCCTCACCTCATTCAAATCTTTGCTAAATTGTCATACTCTCAGTGAGGCCATGTCTGACCATCCTATTTTAAATTACGACACACTTCTATCCCAGCTCACTCACACATACAGCACTCCTCTTCTCCTTTCCTGTTTTATTTTTCTTTATAGAAGGTAAACTCCTAAAGGATGGAAATTTTTGTTCATTTCATTCGGTGCTGTGTCCCCAGCACTTAGGACAGTGCCTGGGACAGAGTAGGCAGTCAAAACTAGAACAGAAGTTCTTATTTGGCATCTGTGGCCTCCTAAATAACCTATGAAAGCTTTGAAATTGACTGCAAAGTGTTATTTGGTATATGTACGTTTTTCTGGGGAGAGAGTCCGCAGTTTATCAACTGTGATGTGTAGGACTGGAGCCTACATATTCACATGAAATGAAAACAGCATTGGAGCTCACTGAATATAGCACACTAGTACGTGTAATGAACCAGAACTCAAAACAAAACAGCTATACAAGAAGAATAGGAAATGGACACCTGAACTCAGAGGAAACATGAGTCAAAAGGATCTAGAAGACGTGGCACTAAAATGGATGAATTTCTACTTCTTCAATTTGCTTATCACTTTTCCCACTTTCATTTAATAATCTGCACACTTTCCATGTGTAAGACACAGAGACAGTCCCTGTAATAAAAAAAAGTTATTTATAAATATAAACAGAGATCCCATGGTTTCAAATGTCAACTCAAAAATGTTCTAAAATTTAGTTGTAGGGGATAGGAGAAAATTGAATGAGCAATAAGTAGTGTAGTTTCTTTAGAGTCGAGACATACAGATCAGCAAGAAATGTAGCATTGAAACTAACCAGGGACAGAAAGGGAGAAAAATGTGATGCAAGGCTAAGAGTAGTGAAGTCAAATAAACTTTGAGAAAGGGAAGGAGGTAAGCTAAACAAATAAGAGAGCATGTTTTTATGTTAAATACAATGATGTAAATACAAGATTTCAAATATTCTATCATGTCACCATGACCTACTGAACTGTTATAGAAATTATATTTTTTTGGTCCAAATTACACCTTTCAAGTGACTCTCATACTATCATAGAAGAACTCCTTACACTCCAACACCATTTCTCTCTGCTCATTTGATAATGGGTATCCTAGGAAATAAGTATACAAGGGTTCATCAAATGAACCCTTGCTACCCAATAAAATATCTTAAAAATCAGCATGTTTTCATTCCTATGTAGAGAATGAATACTATTCTATGTATTTACCAAGAGTTCACCTTGTTGATTCATGTAAGTGGGCCTCAGAGTTCCAAGGGATTGCCTGCAATGGCAGGTATCTGTAGAAAACACAGCTTTAACTAACCATGAACCATGAGCCTCTTCAGAAACGGTGATCAAGAAAACCACTAATAACAATACACAATGTATTCAGCACCAGAGTATACTGTGACTTTGTTGCTACCACAATCAACCTTCAAAGCCTAAAGTGTCACCAAGAACATCACTCCTATTTTTTCATACAGTAGCGTTTAGCCTAGTATCTGCTCTTGCCTTACGTCAAAGGATGTCAGCAAAAGACCTACACTGGAGCTGAACTCCAGATCTATTCCACTCATCACCTGCCTCCTATCAGTTCATGGCAAATCCATCCTTTTATTTCCTTAGGCCAAAACCTTGGCATCACCCTGCACTCTTCTCTCTCACATTCCACAATCAAACCATCACCAAATTCACTGGCTCCATTTTCAAAATCAAAATCCAACCACTTTTGCTGCTACCACCTCAGTCCTAACCACTTTCATTTCTCATTTGAATTATTGTAATAACTTTCTGACTGGTTTCCACCTGTTACGGGCTAAACTGGGTGCCCCCCCCAATTCATATAATGAAGCTCTAATCCCCATTACCTCAGAATGTGATTGTATTTGGAGATATGGCCTTTAAAAAGCAAAGTTAAAATGAAGACTTAGAGTGGGCCCTAATCCAATCTGACTGATATCCTTACAAGAGGAGATTATGACACACAGAGACACTACGAAAGTATGTGCACAGAGAGATGACCGTATGAGGACACAGATAGAAGGTAGTCATCTGCAAGCCAAGGAGAGACAGCTCAGAAGAAACCAAACCTGACACTTTGCTCTTGGACTTCTAGCTTTGAGAACTGTGAGAAAATAAATTTGCCATTTAAGCCACCCGGTCTGTGGTATGTTGTCATGGTAGCCCTAGTCAACTAATATACCATCCTTCTACCACTACCCTCCCCACATTCTAATTCTCAATGCTGTGGCCAGTGAAATCCTGTTACAACGGCAGCCAGATCATGTTCTTCTTCTGTTCCCTTCAATGGCTTTCTCTTCATTCGGTCCTCACAATAGCCCAAGAGGCCAACATGAGCTGCCCTGCCAACCTCTACCACTGCCTCTCTGACGTCCTCTCTTACTCTTCTTCTCTGCATATTCCAATCCTGCCACAAAGGCTTCTGAGCTGTTCCTCATCCAGACACAACCCCCTTGGGGCCTTTGCCCTTCCTTTCTTGTGTTTATAGCCTTCTCCTTCTAGGCATGTGCACAATTCTCTCTTAATTCCTTTGATTATTTTCTCAGATACTTCTACTATTTTTCTCAGGGGGGCATTTCCTCACCACCCTATTTAAAACTATGAACTGCCCCTATGCCCCAGCATTCCCTAACCCCCTTTTCTGCTTTATTTTTTTCCACCACACTTATCACCTCAAACATACTACATAATTCACTTATTTTTTATTGTCTATTGCTAGAAAATGGCGAGGATATTTGTCTGTTTTGTTTACTGCTCTTTGCTTAGTATGCAGGGCAGTGCCAGGCACACAGTTGGTGCTTAATGAACATCTGCTGAGTGCATGAATGAATCCTGATTGAAATTCTACTTGTGTCCTTATCTGATAAAGGAAAAAGGACCGAATGCCACAAGGGATGGGAGCTACTCTGATGAGATGCAGTCTAGGAGAGAGAAGGTACATTTCAAAAGACTGAAGAAACTGTAGCTTATCTAGAATCTAGATGGAAGAAAAACAGCATTTACTTCCTGGTCCTAA